GACCGACTCGTATCGTTGGTAAAACTCGTGCTGTCACCTCTCGGCGATGTTTAGCAGCGTTCGAAAGGATTTTGCGATCCAAGGATTTACCATCTTTTCAGGATCGATCAAACGATCGAACCGAATCGATTGTGCGCTCGCTTACTTCATTTCGTTGTTTTCTGCACGATCACTGCCACGCGAATTTTGTACATTTTCATATATTTGCCCCGAGAACAAGGATATATTGAGATATTTTGTACCATGACATTTAATTCTTGCCAAATATTATATCGTTCTGCACATATTACACAGTATGAGCAACCAGTTTATGTATTACTTACATGTAATAAGTATTAAATAGTCCCACCGAATAAATATTTTGTAACCTCTTCGTTTATTTTGAAAACGATGTAAATCCATTTTCCTTTGATTCGAAATATCGAGATATTTGTATCTCCGTCGATCGTCAAATCCAAATAAATTCATTATAGCTTCGAAAAGGTTTATTGAGAATTAACTATATCTTTTTTCATGGTTATGAATGAATTTACGCCATCTTCAAAATGACTGTATCGTACAATTCGTGAAATTTTGATTGATTGAAATTTACGTTTTATGCTTTAATCCACTTTCGCTTATAAATAAGAGCAGAAAGAACAAAATGCTCATGTTTCGTTTCAACATTTACTTATTTACCGTAACAGAATGCTTGTAAGGTTAATGTTAAGTACATTCTATTTTTTATTTCGGTGTTATGTAAGGCAATAAATGCATCGTATCCTTATATTTCCCACGTGTAATCGATCTAATGTTATTACTATGTGAAGGTGTTAACGCGATGTTTTCAAATTTTTGCAATTTCCCCGGATCGATCGATAATAAATCTGGGGTTCTAAATTTGTTCTCCTCCATTTTACAACAAAATTGTACATGGAGCACTTCTGCGGATTACAGGCAACCTGTTCCCAATTACACCACTTTCTAAATGAACGATCGTACATCAACTTCATCGATGATCAACGAGATTTCGATCGATCAAAACAAACGAATATTTCGAAATTGAACTTACAAATTGCATATAAATATTAACGATATATTTTTGCAAAAAATTTTGCAATGCATTTGCATACGTCATTTTCAAAATAGTCGATCCTTGTATTCTCAGATCTCTTTCCAACTTCTACTTCGTAATCGTGTTTCGTGCTTAACCGTATCAATGAAATTTCGAAGTGTTCCGTACAACGCTTATAGTGTATTCGTAAAGACGTGTATACAAGTGTTGGAATAGTTTCGTGAAGCGACGTTTCCAGTCTCGTCGAAAAGAATTTCGGAAGGACGACGGAAATGGCGGCAAAAGGCGAGTGCCATTGAATTTCGTATTCGGCTTGGGCCGAGCAGTAGCGCCATCCGGTAAAGTAGCCGCAACGCGAACTAAAAGAGTCGAGGCTCTTGTCTGTCACTTGTTGCATCGCCGTCGGCCTGACGTTCGTCCGCTCCGGGCCCGGCGTGCCTTTACCGGTGCACTCTCGTGATTTTTTATCTCCCACGTTCTTTTCTTTCCCCTAACATAGCTCACGCCGAATCGCCGTATTTCTCTCTCGACAACGGTGCCAGTTATTCATCAGAACTTTTTTCAATTAGCTACTTGTCAGTGTCGCGTGTTTTTTTTTCATCTCGCGTATCCTTGGATGTTCGTCGAAGTTTGCTGCTCTCGCACCAGTGTATCATTTTCCTTCATCATGGTGAGTAAACGATCTACATTGATAGAACAGAGGAAAATATCTCCTACTGTACATATATACATATGTAGACTTATTATTATTTCTTTTTTTATTTTTCCTATTTCTTATTTATTTTCTTTTTTGTAGATTATTTCTCTTACATTCGACTTTGTATATATTGCTTTTACTTTAATTCGATCCACGTTGGCGCGTAACTTGGAATATTCAAACGACACGAGCGATTGTTATCGATAGCCTGGATATCTTCGTTGATAGGAGGTCTATTTTAAAAAGCTTACTTTTCTGATTCACTAAGTATACTCGCGCAGGTGAAAGGTGAAAGAATGTGTCGGAGGTATACGGCAGGTTGTTCGTATTCACGACGAATCTCGTTGCTCCTTCGAAAGAAGGGAGCACAATGGCTGCGTAGAGTTAGGTGTGATCACGCATGTATGCACGCTTTATCTTAAATCGTCTCTTCCTCTTCCATCTCCTCTATCACTGAAAATAATTCACGCTTAGCTCGATTCGATCGGAAAGATCGAAATCTCGCGAGCTGAGAAACTCGAGTTCTCCTCTACATCTATAACACGTATGTACGTGTATCGGACGTGTTTGTCGAACGCGTTTCGTTGAACTTCGTAAATGCTTAACTCGTGTGCCCCTATATCTGTTGTTCAGCGTTGCTCTTTGGGTAGTTCCTTTGTTTCCTGGTCCGATACCTCTGTACTCGGAACACGATGGACGCTGTACTACGTCCATTTCTCCGCTCTTTCTCTCTTCCATCTATTTCTGTTTCTCTCTTTGCCTCCTACTCCTCCTGTTTCGTCTCATTCTCGCAAGCAACTCGAGTACGGCCGTTCTCTAGAAACCAGTTTCCAGCTGTCAGCGTCCAGTTT